CATCCTGTTAATGCCAACAAATTTGATAGGTACAACAATTTCATCATAAAGTGCAGCCTCAGCCGAATACACCCTAGCTATAAAGGGTTTGTTATCGGCCTCAACAATTTTTACCTCATTTCCGTCCCAAAAAATCAACATTTGATGCAAGGTTGATGGGATGCATATGTTAGGATGAATCCAATCTCGGCCTAAAAGGAGATTATAGGCCGCGGTTGAATCAATGATAAAGAAAGCCGTAAAGGATGTCTTACCGCCAATAGTAATTTCCAAAGGTAGAATACCTTTGGTGTTACTAGATCCTCCATTAAAACCACTGATGGCCACGTCGGTTGGAACTACATCATCCATGGTTTTACCCAATTTCTTCAAAGTAGTTGATGGAATGACATTCACCACCGAACCATTGTCAACCAAAACCCTATTGATTGGCTGACCCTCAACCCATACTTTAACATACAACGGCCTCAACTGTTGTGTCATGGACAAAGGTGGTTTTTCAAAAATAATTTTATCGGCCTCAGATGGCTGATCCTGAGAGATCAATCCTATCCCGGCCGATGAACTTGTCGAATCGTTCTTAATTTCTGAAGATTCAGCCTTTTCTTCCTGCTTGGCTGACTCAACATCCCTGTTCATCATTGGTTCTATCCTTGCTTCAAACACAGAAGGCAAAACAAATACCATGTTACAATTTACCTCATCCGGGAGAGAACCAAAACGAATTCTGTACTTGGCCGCATGCTTTGGATCCTGGTCTGGCTGATCATCTTTTTCTTCATAAAAGCATGCCTTATTCTCAAAGGATGTAGCGACCTCCATGTCTTCAGCCACCACTGGTTCATTTTTCCTTTCTAGTTGATCATGGTCGATCTTGTCTTCTTTCCTTTTGAGTTCTGCATTTTTCCTTTGCATCCTCCTTTTTTGGGTACGTGTAGGAGGCTGCTTAGGAAACTTTGGGTGACTTACTCGAGTCCATCTGCCATGGTCAACCAAAGGAGGTCTAACCGTTCTTACACGGCTAGATTCTTCTCCTTTTTGAACCCATATTTCTGACTGAATTGTTGGTTTCCTTTTGAAACTAAGATAAAAATGTTGTTCTGGCAGGACTCTATCGGCCACCGATGACCGAATGATTCTCACTGCCCTCGGCCCATTTTCTCTAAATATTGATCGATTGATTTCTTCGTGATTCTGTCTAGGCTGATGGCCTAACCTTTCATGGACACTGCGCTTCTGGTTGATTGGAAATAGCCCCTCTTGTTTGAGTCATTCCTTCGGCCTTTGCAATTTGGACAACAACCATGGTTGATGAGGGCAATTTGAGCTTCTCTTAACTGAATTTCCAAGTCCTTAACTTTCTGCTCATCATTACTGGCCGATGAACTACCAAGAACTTTTGGTAATCTTTCCTGTCTACCATTATCAGCGGCTTTTTCAGTTGCCAGGCTGATTACATTGGTACTGACAATATTAGGAAATGGATCGCCATCAACCCCCATTACATCTGGCTTCTTTTCAAGGAATTTCAATACACCTTCATCGATAGATTTCTGCAATACATTTCTAAATACATAACAATTGTTAGTAGTATGATTCCATGAATTATGAAATTTACAGAACTCTCTTCCTTTTAAATCATTGGTCGATGGTATATTGTGTCCTTTTGGCAAAACGATTTGTTTGTCGGCCAACAAATGATCAAAAATTTGTTCTGTTTTGGCCAGATCAAACGTATAAACCTTACTAGTATCAGCCGTACCCTTCCTGGCCGATGAAGTCGATGGCTGAGTACCACTGGTGGATACATTTGGTTTTGTTAAAGCGTCACATACATAAGGTTTATTTAGAATGACTTCGGCTAAATTAGCTTCAAAATCTTCCTCTTCAACCACATCAGTTGAATAAACTTCATAGTTGGGGTCCCTATAGTACGTACCTTTAGAGGAATTTTTTCGTTCTTTCTCCTCTTTAAGAACCAACTCATACCTGGTAGCTTTCTCGGCCAGGTCATACATGTCACGAAATGGAACTCCTTCAAACCTCTTCCGAAGTTCAAAATCAAGGCCGTTCAAAGCCAAACGAATGTACTCCTGTTCTGGAAGAGGTACACGACATCTTAATCTTGCTCTCCTGAATCTTGCAATAAATGTCTCGACCGATTCACTAGGCAATTGACTTAGCCTGGATAAATCGGCCAGAGTAGGTTCTGTCTCCGTACGGTAGAACTGATTGTGGAATAATTCCTCCATCTGTGGCCAATTAAAAACAGAGTTAGGAGGTAGACGAATATACCATGAAAAAGCTGCCCCTGTCAAAGAGTTAGGAAAAAGTCTCAATTTCAACCACGGGCTAACACTGGCCTCTCCACATTGAACCGTGAATCGGCCAATGTGTTCCACGGTCGATTGATTCCCCTCTCCACTAAAGGTTACAAAGTCAGGGACTTTATATCCTCTAGGGAACTCAACTTGGTCTACCACTTCTGGATAAGGAGTTCTATAAATTGGTCGGCCGGCACCTCTAAGTTCCAGGCCATATTCTTCTGTGAGTAAATCAGCTAATTGTCTTCTATCTAACATGACTTGAGGTTGCTGATTTAATATTGGTGGTACCTGATTAAAAATTGGCGGCTGATTAGCCGCTGGTTGATAGCAATTCGGCCAATCATGTGGCTGATTAGCCATATTCTGCCCCCCGAGCCCTACCTGTGGCGGCACATGAGTATACAGTGGGTTCGGTGGCCTCCACCTGATCTGATTGCCCCCCGAGTTCAAAGGCATCCGAGGAGGGTTTGGTAGAATTACCTGTGGCTGCGAACCTACTACTGGTGGCTGATTAGAACCTGCCAACGTAGGCTGAGGATAGCTTTCTGCCCAGGTGAGTAGCGTATGAACCGGCTGACTTGATGTTGCAACTGGTTGGAGTGTCACTATTGGCGGCCATGGCTGTGATGTTTCAATGGCCCTCTCTGGCCGAGCAGCTTGGGATAGATTCGGCTGAGAAGCCGATTCCTGATTGTTGGAGCTGCTAGCTTGAGTCGGCTTGTTCAAAATAAAGGCTGAGAGTTGGGACATATTTTCATGCAAGTCGTTGTAGCGTGCTCCCATCCTTCCCATTGCATCTACCAAGGAGCTAACCTGTGCCTGAAGTACGGCTAACTTATCAGTAGGACCTGCTGCAGAGTTCTCAGCCTGTACTGGCTGATCGCCTTCCTCCAAATCTTCATCAGTAGCCACGGCCTTAGAATTTTTTGTGAGCCGCGGCATATTTGCCTCTTTTATAACACTCTAGTAGTGGTCCCACCGGGCGTGCCAAAACGTGTTCGCGCGGTTTTTGTTCCCTACGCCGGTCGATGGACTCTTCGCGGGCGTGCCAGAGTATTTGTACAAAATACCCAAAATATGTAATTGAACACCAGCCTATCCCTTTTTTCGATGGCTGACTCTCAGGCGATTGTGTGGGAGAGAGACTAGTAAGAACTCCCAGCAAGGTTCTTTTATGCCTTGTTTGTAGCAAGGACTTTTTAGAGTGTCTAAAGAAATGCAACGGCTGATGAATGTTTGAATGGATGGAATGGCCGAGTGAAGACAGGCGGCAAGAACTTAATCGATCGCCGGCCGAACGTGATGGCGAGAACTTAATCAATCGCCATCAGCCAAACACAATGGAAAGAATTTAATCGATCACCACTGAAACGTGATAGCAAGAATTTAATCAATTGCCATCAGCCAAGTAATGACAAGAATTTAATCAATTGTCACTACGATTCAATGGCAAGAATTTAATCAATTGCCATTGAATTAAAAGCCTAACTAAAATTGCGTAATTTAAATTGGCATAATTGAAATTGAAAGAAAGTAAATGGCTGAATTGAAATAGTTGACAATGATCTAATCAATTGCCATTAAATTGAAATAAAGAAACTGATAGGAAAAAATGACGTAGAGTCAATTGAAAACATTTTTAGTTGAAATGCATGTTTTGTGGTGGTGCTGGACGAATTGAAAATGGAATACAATACTTCTATTTATAGAAGTTCTATCTCAACTTATTTTCCTAATTAATTGCTAGAAAATCTCTTTGCTCCTTGATTTTCTTCACTTTATTACTCAAACTAAACCCGTTCCAGTAGTCTTTTGCGTCTCTTTTCTTCTTGCTTCAATAGAAACTCCTTGTTGAAAACTCCCCTTGATTTAGTCAAATGCAAGTTGTCGAATTGTTGCTGAAAAGTTGCTGGAAAGTTGCTAATTTTTAGCAACTTCTTTCCTTATACTTGGTCACCATTTCTTCCCTTAAATTGCCCAAAAGCCATTTATCGCTTTTATATTCATGACGCGGCTGCCTTTTGTATTTTTTCCTTGTTCCATCCAACTAGAATTCCTATAAAATAGGAATTCAGTTGTCTGATTTCCTTAAAACTTTAGTCTTTCCTTTCCTGTTGATAACCCAACTTGAATAAAGTCAAATGTTTGTTGCTATATTTTAGCAACTGCCTTGTTAATGAAGTGGCTGAGTAACTTTCTCCAATACTTGCTCCTGATATTTCTTAACTGGCTGATTCCCTTGACGCCATGTTAAAAATACTTATCAGCTTTTCATTGGTCCACGTCATCGCTGAAATGGCTGCCAAGTTTTGGTGCCAACAATGCCAAAATTGTGAAGGTTCCATTAGTTGCAAGTTAAAATGACAAAAATTTTAAAAAAAAATACTTGAACACGCCCCTAATTAACAAAAATTAGATGAATACAGATGTCAAGTATTATAAAAAATCACCTTTAATTAACAAGAATAAGAATGGAATAGTCAGTAAAAAAAAAAAAAACAAACAAACAAGAATGAGTAGTTAGACTGTTAACGTAACAAAAATATTATTAAATTTATCTTCAAAATACGCGGTAATAAAACAAAAATATTATTAATTTTCTCTTAAAAATTACGCGCTAATAACGAGCGTGTTAAGATTATTTTGGTAACTTGCACCAATATTTATATTAAAGTATCTCTGTCTTCCTCCTCTTGCCATTCCACCTTCCATTCCCTCTCTTTACGAGTCTCTCACACACAGACACACACACACCAACTTTCATAAATAAAAATCAGTCTAAGAAACCCTAAATCCTACACAATTTCCAAGAGAATTAAACATGACAGACAGAGTCTACCCTTCCAAACCCGCCACCAACGGCACCGCCGCAGCACACGGCGGCAACCCGTCGTTTCCCGCCAACAAAGCTCAGCTATACAACACCACCCGCCCTGCCTACCGCCCGCAGCCCCACCACAGCCGCCGCCGCGGCCGTAGCTGCTGCTGCTCCTTCTGCCTCTGCATCACCCTCTTTTTCATTACCCTCATCGTCCTCGCCACCGTCGCCGGCGCCGTCCTCTGGGTCCTCTACCGCCCCCACCGCCCCTCCTTCTCCGTCTCCTCCCTCCGAATCTCCCAATTCAACTTCACTTCGTCTTCGCAGCTCAACTCCAAGTTCAACCTCACCGTCACCGCCCAAAACCCTAACAAAAAGCTCGTCTTCTTCTACGACCCCATGAAAATCAAAGTCACCGCCGACGGAATCAACGTCGGCGACGGATCAATTCCCGCGTTCGTTCACGGCACGAAGAACACAACGACTCTGAGATCAACGATCACAAGCAGTGCTCAGAGCATGGATAGTACCTCAATTAGTACATTGAAGTCAGATCTGAAGAACAAGAATGGATTAGATTTGAAAATCCAGCTGGACACGAAGGTGAAAGTGAAGATCGGGGGGTTGAAGACGACGAAAGTGGCGATTAGGGTTTCGTGCAAGGGTATTAAAGCTGCCGTGCCGACCGGAAAGACGTCGACGACGGCGACGACGTCGGACGCGAAGTGTAAGGTTTATCCCCGGATCAAGATCTGGAAATGGACGATATGAAGAAAGTTCAAGAAAGTTTTATTTTCCATTTTTATTTTGTTTTGAATTTAGTTTCTTTATTCAATTTGTTGTGAGGAATATTTTATTTTATTTTATTTTTCTGTTTTTTTGCTCATTTTCTGTGCTTGTAAATGAAGGAAGATTTATGGGTGATGGATATAGAAAGTGATTGCATATATATATATATATATATTTCAGATATATAGTAGTAATAATTGTGATATGGTAGGGAAGGATTGCATCAAATTTGATTCATGAACAACAATTAAGTTCCATTTTATATTTTCATTTCCATATTAAAGAAATATTTCGGTGACATTTCAATGTATCTAATGCTATTTGTTTGAGGAAATATATTTGTCACGCTAGGCGATTTAATTCTTATGATATCTTTCATGTTGCTTGGTTTCTAAGAAAAGAAAGGAAAATTATAGTGTGAAAATGCTCCTCTTTCTGACAGGAATTTTTTTAGTGCAGTAACTTTTTTTTTTTTTTTTGGGTATAAAAATGGGTATCTTGGCCTTCACTTTTTTATACTGAATAATGATAGGAAGATGAATAAGTATCGTGTTTTTGTCTATCTCATTCATTTAAATAATTTTTAAAAATAATTATTTAACACGTGATAAAATTATAAGAATGATCAATTAGGTCGATAATTCTTTTTCGATTTCCTTGTCATTACCCTTATAAACATGGTTGAGTTGATGATGATAGGAAGGAGATTACTGGTCCCATTCCTGTTGTGCATGTCGACGTTGACTCCTCACTTAGCTATTCATTTATTGAATGATTGAATGTAAAGAGGTTTTTTAGCTTGATGTTGAGTCATAATTGTGAGTTGGACTGAAGTATTGACCTTTAGTGATTCTAAATACATTGATTCAAATTCCATAGGCTTTGATACAAATACAATAACAATGGTACTCATTGGGAAAATTACTTATTGCTTTCCATCAAAGTAGATATATATTGTATGTTCATTTCACCGGTGTAATAATTGTAATGAATAATTTATTCATTTGTTGTTTCATTTGATTTTTGTTACTTTAAAATAAATGGAGGTTTGAAATGAATTGTAAATTCAATAATTTGAATGAGAATGTCATAGATCATTAAGGTCTTATTTGGATGGACAAAAACAGAAGAAAAAGAAAGAGAGAATGAAGTATTTATCGAGAAAAATAAAAACCTACTACTTCACATGTCTATCTAGCTACTTATTAATATAATCAGATCTATTAGTTGTAGACCATTGGTGATCTATTTTATATATACATCACATTGCATCTATTTAAAGACTCTTGAGATACTTGGGATTGCATATCCTATATATAATTAGACTGTGCATCCCTCTTTTATATATAAAAGATTGTGTTCTTGATAATTAATATTTATCTATTAATTTGATAGACATTTGTTAATGGAGAAAGTGATAAATAAGGATAATAATTTTTTTAAAAAATAAATTCAGTCATTTTCCTGCTAAATAAGGATAATATATATATATATTTGAAATAAATTCAATTACCCTCTCTAATTTTCTTATCTATTACTTTCTAAATTTTGTAATTACATATTTGTGCAGTTATGATTCAGCCATCAATAAGAATGTCCTCTCATTAATGAGTTGTTCAAAACAATTTGAGAGAATAAAATATAAAGCTTATGAATAAATAAGCTTATGAAATTAACACCTCGTTGTGGTTGGCATATTGAAGAGGACATTCCAAATTGACATAAATTATACATCTCTTAGAAAGTAGCATGTGAACAAACTAAATGCGCGTTTGGTACGTTTTGCAGCTCTTCCCCACATGATGACGAGTGGTTGTCACTTGCCAATTATATTGTTCTTTCTTAATTTAACCTAGCCAACATTATTTAGTTAGTGTCGGTGGGAGTTTTCAAATCTATATATATATATATATTTAATGTGTAATTGCTTTGCGACCAACTTACCAAAATAAAATAAACAAATTAAATTTCATTTTGACTAGCATATAAGGTGACTCCACAAATTAGATTCACATTAAATTTCATTATTTTTCCATTTGATTATGCCGTGATTAATTATATGTGATTAGAGATTGATTTTATCATAAAGTCAGAAATATTAATGACAGCACTTATTGTTCGATTTTAGATTTTAAATCATTTTTCATATTATAATCACATAAAAATGGGTGAGATTTTAATTTAAACTACATATTAGACATTATAAATGGGACAAGAGTTGATTATGCCGTGATTAATTATATGTGATTAGAGATTGGTTTTATCATAAAGTCAAAAAATATTAATGACGCACTTATTGTTCGATTTTATATTTTAAATCATTTTTTATATTATAATCATATGAAAATGGGTGAGATTTTAATTTAAACTACACATTAGACATTATAAATGGGACAAGACTTGATTACGCCGTGATTAATTATATGTGATTAGAGATTGATTTTATCATAAAGTCAAAAATATTAATGATGCGCTTATTGTTTGATTTTATATTTTAAATCATTTTTTATATTATAATCATATGAAAATGGGTGAGATTTTAATTTAAAGTACATATTAGACATTATAAACTCATCTAAGGTCATTCCTACTGTGGTCCAACCACAAATGCACAAATAATAACTAATTGCAAAATTAAAAAATTGATAAATAAAAAAATCAGACATGATGATTGAATTTATTTCAAAAAAAAGTTATTATCCTTATTTGGTGCCAAACTATTTTTGTCATCAGAAAATAGTTCTGAAGAACTTAAGAAACTATTTTAGAAAAGATACAAAATATATATTTTTATAACCAATTTTTCAAAAAAAAAAAAAATTTAAAATTAAACTAAACAGAATTTTTATACAATTTTTATTTATTTATTTTCAAACATAACTGTGTTTCCAAACAAGTCAAAGTTTGTGGATATCAGACTTCTTGAACCCACGTGGAGAGAAGAATACTATTTTTTTAGTGAAAATCTACCATAAAGTTGTGAAAACAAATTGTAATATTGAGAATGTCAGTGTCATTGAAGTAGTAAACTAGTAGTAATTAAATGTTGTATGGAGAACAAAGCCTGCATAGTGATGGATCCATGACATTATGAGTGACATTGCAGTGGTTGTGGTGGGCCGGTGGCAGTGTAAACTGTAGCATAGGATGTATTAGCGGCTTAAATTTATAAGGCTTTCACAATCTTTCAGATAGGGTTCATTCAATGTGTAAAACGCGAATGAAAAAAGACCAGCCGACAGAAACGCTCCCACCCCTCTCTACCTTTCTCTCTCTAAACCAGCCCTCCTCATCTTCCTTCTGTGCTCCCTTTCATGGTAGTGGGGAGCTGCTATCTGCCGTTCAAGTTTACAGTTGCAATAATTTGACGTGTTCGAATAAGTGAGCTCTGTGAGTGTTTTTTGATGCCTTTTTTGTTTTTGTTCGGCTAGATTTGCGGCGTGTTCAAATAAGTGGACTCGTGAGTGTTTTTTTACGCCGTTTTCGGTTTTGTTCGACTAGATTTGCTCTTGTTTGTTTTGTTTTCGATTCACATGGATAGATTTGTTGCTTTTCTCCAGCTAGATCTCTGATATAGGCCGGTTTTGGGTTTTTCCCCGCTTAGATTTGATCATTTTCTCCTTGATTGGATCTTGTGCGGGGTTTTGTGTGTCGGAGCGCCTTGTGGTTGTAACTTTAGAGCGGTTGCCATACTGACGGCCATACCTTTCAGTCTCTCCAGTTTACTGCTTTCTCCCATTGTGGTTCCGTTTATTAAGTGTTGAACTCTATTTTTTCCACAAATTTGGAGCAAGTTCTTTATTTATTTGCTTTACTTCAAGATTTGTATGCCTTTTCTAGCTTGGCTTTATACTTCTATACTTCTATACTGCTTTCTTGGCTTAACACGCGTAATTTTCACACACATACATACATATAAGATAAATTATACCGACTTTTTTTGAAATTTGGACAAATTACATGTAAGTAAAATATCTTAATATTTTGATTTGAAGTGACAAAAATAACCATAAAATGCCTTTGAAATGCAAAATATTGATTTTCATATCAAATTTATATTATAAATTCTATAAAAACAATTTTTACTATTTTTTTTTGTTAATGACATTTGATTAGGTTTTTTTTAACAATTTGATTAGGATTTTATATGTATATATAAAAAAATAGGTATGGTAGTATATTGTTTATAAGATTGAAAAAATTAATAAAAACATAATAAAGTCTTTTGGTTTGATAATTAACACTCTAACAGTGTGTACTTTGCCTATGGTCAAAAAATAAAAAATAAAAAAATAGTAATTTACCCATATATATATATATATATATATATATATATGCATGTACACGCGCGCATGCATTATATACTACATGGAGAGAGAGAGAGAGATTGGTTTGGCCCACAGTTTTCCCCTCCAATACATGGAGTTGTGTTGTTTCCAACGTGATATTTTGTTAAATGATCGCATGACTCTGAATTGTTTATAACCCCACAATTTTCAATTTTTCTGTCTAAATTCATTCAAACAGATTGATTTGTTTCACAAAGTAATCACATAATCATCTGGCATATGCTTATGGCCCAAATCATTGGTTAAGTAGTTAATCAAATGCCAATCAATAAAGTTGATGATCTTTTTAAGGTGGATTTTGTCGTCTAAGAAACATGACATGAAGGAGTGTTAATTGCACTCACGCATGTTGAGTGTTCTTGCAGTTGTACTTTTAAAATTGAATTTCACGTTAGTTAATTAAATATCTCTTATCATTACGAGGCATTTAAAATATAAATTTATAAAAAAAAACAAATATCTTTATAATTGTTTCTTCTTTTCTAAATTGATCCGTATGCATATACAAACATGTGTACATATATATCAATAACATTCATGATTATTTTCTTTCTAATTTTTTTTTTAATGAATTCTTTTATTTCTTTTTTTAATTGTCTTTCAGCTATACACGGATTGTGTATCTAATCTTTGCTAATCAATATCAAAGAAAGTTGTTGTTTGTGTATATATATATATATATATATATATATAGACAAAGATGTTGTTTGTATATATAGATATTCAATCTATATATACAGGTAGGTGTACAGTGTGAGGTAAAAAAAAGAAAAGAACACACACGTACACACAGTGTGAGGGGAGAAAAAAA